TACCGATGATGTCGATGTCATCGGCATAAGCCAGCAATTGCACGCTCTTGTAGTAAAACTGACTTCAATTTCGCTGTAAATTAAACAAAGCAAAACATGAATTTTATGCGATGGAATTTTCCACAGAAAGTAAGGTTAGAAAGTAATTTTTGGATATCTACATATATATTAGGGATGCCAAAATATCAGGAATATTGGGATCCCGGGTTTTCCCGGGAAATTGAGTCATAAATTTTATGAACATGAGTAAAAAACAATATCTGCAAGCATTTAAACATACCATTAAATAAAACTATTTAAAACTTACGATAAACTGATTGTAAAACTCATATATCGCTAGCTTAGGGTGAAAAGTTGCTAACTTCACTTTTAATGAAAAATCTTATTTTGATATAGGAGGCTAGATAAATTAAAATTGCATCGTTTCGAAAAGGGTAAAGGTCCTGGTTTTATGTTTTCTCGTTTATATTCAATGAAAAGAAAATTTGCTAAGGCCAAAAAAGCTCCGAAAATTCGATAAGGCCAAAAAAGTTCGAATTCTTTTAATAAAGATCAAAACCCTCTGATCCGTATGGAGTTTTGCTTTGCTTTAAACAGGCAAAATGTTGTACTCAAAGTTTTGCGAAATACTTGAAGAAACTGGATATACGAAGCTTTTTCCTCCCCTGTACAATTTTTACATTGGGACTTAACAACTTTGCACTCTACGCTTGCGATATTTATTTATTCAATCAGACAACGTTTAACGTGAAACATTTTTTTAATTGTATTTAAAAAACCATGTGATTGAGGAACGTATACATCACAAATAATAATTTAAATACCAGGTACTTTTGAAAGTAACGATTAATAAAAAAACATAAAACAAAAATAATCACTCTCCAGGGCCACAAAAGCGGAGTCGTGATAGTTAAAACCATCTGCAGCTGTCATCGACATTACTGAAGTTGTCTCCGTTAAAACAATTTTTTCATTGCTCTGATATTGTTTTGGCTGCTGTGTTTGTTGATGTTGCACCGATGCCAATGTTGCGGTGGTTGAAGGAAAAAGTGTGTAATTTCCACGTATATATGTGGATTGCACTAATTGCTGATATGAAAGTGGAAGAAAATTTGGAAAAAGGTATGTATATACATGTATTAGAGATAAAGAAAAATGTATATAAAAAAAGCGTCATGATTCAATAATTAAAGGGTTGCTCACTATTGACATTAGAGTTTTGACAAAATGTCCCTGCAGCAAATGGAAGAGAATTTTATCGACATGGTGGCGTCACTTCTACGTCACGATAGTCGCTCATTTCACAAAATCAAAAAAAAAAAAAACATTTATATCGCTTGTCTATCTTCTTAAAGATGCCCGGGCAATTTTTTACTCTTTAAAGTTTTGAAAGATGAACCCATCTTTTGACAATCCATTTAACGTATTAAATAATTTGGGCTTAATTTTTTTAACAAAAAAAAATGCCCAGCTTAAAGATTTCTTAACACTCGTTCTTTTGACAGCCATATTTTGAAATTTCATGTAACTTATGTATAATTAAACGAAATACCACTTTCAAAGCTTAAAAATTATTTTCGAACTAAACTTTCCCTAAATATTTTTCGTCTGACTGTCGGCCGCTGTGGTGTAGTGGTAAGCAGTGCGCGCTTCCGCTCCACAACGCCTGGGTTCAAACCCTGGTCCCTCCGCTTTGTGTGACAACATCAAGGCGCACGCCACCAATTGGAGGAGAAGCTCGGCCAAACACTAACATATGTGTAAGCGCCAATCTATTATTATTATTATTATTATTATTATTATTATTATTATTATTATTATGTATAATTAAACGAAATACCACTTTCAAAGTAGGCAACAACCCTCTTAAAAATTATTTTCGTACTAAACTTTCCCTAAATATTTTTCGTCTGACATTATTATAAATATTTCATGTAACTGATGAATTAAGTGGAAATTTATTTTTTTGACACGTGGCAATCCTCCTAAATTTAGTTCTTAAATAAAGGCTTTTAACCCTATTTTCATTAATAACCATCGGTTAGTAATTCATTTAACTTATTAAATAATTTTAGTTGAGCCCTTTAAACTGGGGCAACCCTCAAACACATCAAAAATGTTCTAAATTGTCCAACTAAGTATTTCTTGAAGCTCTTTCATTTTACATCCATCGTTAATATTTCACATAAAAAATAGTTCAATTAGACTTCTCAAATAGGTGGCAGCCCTATTCAACATATTTTCAAACTACTACCTTCTTAAACCTCTTTTGTATGACACCCATATAGCGATACCTTTTTCACTTACCAAATTCCTTTAATTAAAATTTAATTACATACATATTTTTTTAACATGTGGCAACCCTCCTATACATAGTTAAGTTATAAAGCCTTTTCAAAACCATCTCGATTGATACCTATATTTAATAATTGGTTTAACTTTTTAATTAATTTGAGCTAAATTTCTTAACAGGTGGCAACTTTTTTCGAAAAAGTAAAACCTTATTGAACATCCACACCCCAAGCCCTTTAATTTGGTACCTCACTTTTGAAAATCGAACGGACGGTGCGGATCTGAGGGCATTGATTAGAAAATAACTTGAGTTTTATTATTTAATAGGTGGCAACTCTTTTCGAAAAAATAAAACTTGTTTGCACATCCACGGGCCAAGCGCTTTAATTTGACACCCTATTCTTGAAAATCGAACCAACGGTGCAGATCTTTTATGCTGCCCAGGCGCATCAATTACAGGTGATACCGAAAGAAGCTATGCTTCTTCTTATGAGCACGATTGTGTCATATTATCGTCTGTTTTGCTTTGTTTACATATCCGCGTATACATACACATATACGCAAATATATACACTGCAAACAAATGCTCCCAAAATCTTTAAGAGTATCGGAAATTTGTTACGATTCTTTTAGGAATCTTTAAAGAAAAACATATGAAGCGGTTGACAAGAACTAGTAAAGAAATTTCTGTACGATTTCTTAAAGATAATTCTTAAAAAAAATTGTGAAATATGAAATCCTGGTATGCAGGGTGTATGTATACATACGAATATGAATATATAAATACCAAATAGATACCAACGGTAAATGTTGTTTTTGTACGATTGCAACAACCTGTAGTTATTGAACCATGCTTCGAGTATTATATATATATTAGGGATGCCAATCCCGGGATCCCGGAATCCCGGGATTCCGGCGTATTTGACGTCCCGAAAATCCCGGGATTTGCTTTCATTAATTCCGGGCTCCCGGAAATTTTGAAATATCGAATTGATAGTAAGAATTTGTTTATGAATTTTGAAGTATGATTTTTTAAAATGCCGTTTTGACTGCAATTAACAAAAAGCTTGAAACTGTACTTTTAAATTGCAGTCTGAGCCTTTTTTGAAGAAGATTTCAATGAATTTACTCATAGCGTCGCTAATGTAAGCGAAACAGAGAGTTTTAAGGAAAAGTTAGATAATTTTTTAGATCAATCTACTCAAAACTTCCTCA